GTGATGATGGTGATGATGATAGTGATGATGGTGATGATAGTGATGATGATGATAGTGATGATGATGATGGTGATGATGGTGGTGATGATAGTGATGGTGATGATGGTGATGATGATAGTGATGATGGTGATGATAGTGATGATGATGATAGTGATGATGATGATGGTGATGATGGTGGTGATGGTGGTGGTGATGATGATGAGAATGGTGATAATGGTGGTGATGAAGATGATAGTGATGATGGTGATGATGGTAGTGATGATGATGGTGGTGGTGATGATGATGAGAATGGTGATGATGATGATGAGAATGGTGATAATGGTGGTGATGAAGATGATAGTGATGATGATGATGATGGTGGTGGTGATGATGATGAGAATGGTGATGATGATGATGAGAATGGTGATAATGGTGGTGATGAAGATGATAGTGATGATGTGATGATGGTAGTGATGATGATGATGGTGATGGTGATGATGATGGTGATAGTGATGGTGATGATGATGGTAACATTATGTTTCTGCTGCAGTCCAAGATGACCTGGGGGCCTTACTTCTGGTTTCACATGTGGAGAGCAGCCACATCCACCATCTCAGGTCTGAAATGACTTTATTTACAACTCTCTGCTCTATTAAGAGATATATCATCATCCTTCCCTTAAATATAGACAACCTACCGTGACATGCCTTTATTTTTGTTTAGAATAGAATAGAATAAAAAAAATCCCTAAATTGTCCCACAATGGGGGAAATTCTGGTGTTTACAGCAGCAAAAAAATAAGAATAACATAATAGTGAAAAGTTATAAGATAAACAATAAAAAAAAACTGTACTGTAAAGTGTTTTAAGAATATAAAAACTGTGCACCGGGAGAAAAAATACTTTTCACATCTGGTTGGATTCAAGGCCAATTTAGCAACCGTCAAATATGTCTTTGTGAGTGACCACGCCCCCCGTGCAGATTTCACGTTGAACGGTGGCAAACCAGCACAGACCTCAAGCGGAAGTGTGCAGACTAAAAGCAGCTTTGATTGGTCCTTGGTATGCCTTTCCAGTTGTTGGTCTGGTCGTCCTTCTCGATTCAGTGCCGGGTCGCACCCTTTTTAAAAACCGAGGAGTAGAAGAAATTCTCGCAAGTTCTCGGATAGGCTCCCCCTAGCACTTTGATGGGAAACTGCTGTGCGTCCCTAGAAATTCCAGACAACGGTGCAGAAGCATACCAGCAAAACTGGTTTGCGACCAGACCCAAGCAACATTTGATGTTTAGAAAGATATTGAAGGCAGTTTGGGTGTCCTGCCTGCACAGTTCTAGCATATAAAATATAGTATCTAGATGCTTAACATTTTAAACACCAGCTCACTTGCCCAGGGGCACTTTCTATGGAAGGTGCAGTGAGCGTTACCTTTATGGGTTACGACAAAGAATGAATGACGAGCAGAAATAGGTTTATCTACAGCTAGGTTTCCTTTACAAATGTGCACAAAATTATGTACCGTGTTTTTGACTATAAGTCGCAGTTTTTTTCCATAGTTTGGCCGGGGGTGCGACTCATACTCTGAAGTGACTTATGTGTGGAATTATTAACACATTATTATATAATTTAACATGTTATTTTCACACTCTAGGCCTTTGTTGATAATTTCAACATTGTCGTTAACTTCTAAAAACAGCAAAGAAGGGCTTAACAAAAATGGCAAAATCATATTCTGCAGATTATAAGCTGCAAGTAATGTAATCGAACAGCAGAAAGAATGTTTGGAGTTAGCAGAGTTGTTTAAAAGTGACACAGAGGATGAAGATGTCATTGGATTTAGTCATTTGGAGTGACACTTATTGTTTAATAAACTTGTTATTTATGCCATAGTTATCTGAATAACTCTTGATATGTTAAGTTAACATAGCAGGCGTGTTCTCAGTTTGTTGTTTATGGGACATGTAACATTGCCTCTATTCGATTTTTATTCTGAATTGCCTTTCAAGATGACATATCTGTTCTTAGAGTTGGATTTTATCAAATAAATTTCCCCCAAAATGCGACTTTTACTCCTGTGCGACTTATATATATTTTATCCTTCTTTATTATGCATTTTATGGCTGGTGCAAGTTATAATCCAGAAAAATGTGCTAATTTCTAAAAAAAATAATTTTTGCAATTGTGGTATTACTATTAAATAAGAAATTAAATGAAAGCTGCAATGAATACAGTTGTTGACTTTTAATAACTTTTTAAACGGTGGCGGATCTAAAAACATGGTGTTTTACAGCAACGGCTCTAGTTCTCATCACGCCCATTGTCGCAAACTCCATATAAGAAATACACCATCTGCTCATGAATCCAAATATGCAGCACCATCTTCCTCCAACTACTTCCGGTCTTCTTCTTCATCTTTTTACAAGGCAGTGAGGTCCAGTTGCTGATGTCGTTACTCGTGGGATGCAAGAAAAAAGTATTTCCACTGCAGTTTTGCGTTGTATATGTACGATGCGACTAAAACGAAACACCCCATTAATCTAAAAAAAATAGCTTTTTTTTATTTCAGTGTTTCCATTTTAGAAAATACATTTTTGTAATTACAATTTGCTTAATTTGATTGTTAATGGAAAGACAAGTCCAAACGTAATCTCTATGGAAGAGAACCTAAAACACATTTCATAGAATTCTTGGCAAATATAGCACTGTCATAGGCTGTGTTCTGAAGTGTTGGTTGATAACAGAAGTACTAAGCAATAACTGCTATGACAGAAAAGCAAATTGTACATTTATGTTTCCTTTACTTACAGTTAAATTATAAATAAAATTACTGTTACATTTATTGAGAAAGTAAGGACAGATGGTTGTTTTATGTTGCAGCATGTGACTATCTTGGGGAGAGGATGGCATCCCTGTTTGGAATAACATCTGCTAAGTACCAATATGCCATTGATGAATACAACAGGATAAAGAAGGAGGTAAGATGTTGGGTATTTTGAATAAATGCTGTCTTCATTTTGTGTTTTTAGCCCTCTAATGTTCCACCTTATGTTCCTTCTTGTGTAGAAAGAAGAAGAGAAGGAGGAGACTCGGCTGTCTGAAGAAGCAGAGAGGACCTTCAACCAGTTACAATCTCAGGAAGGGAAAAACGAGCCACTCACATCACCAGAAGGACAGGAGGGGGCGTCGGCCTGCCCTGATGTAACCTATCAGGTGGAGAATGAGAATCCTTTGGCTGGGAACACCATCACCGTTCCGGCTATCGTCACTGCAACCTAACTCTTCTGAAGGAAGGACTATTTAAGTGTTTTTTTTTCCATCTGTAAAGGAAAGAAAAAGATTTAGTTTCACCAAGCGTTTTTGGTTTGTGTATAACACGGCTTCTAATGGGGCAGCGTCGCTGTATTTCGGGCTAGTTGAAGAGGACAGGCATGTCGCAACAATGTGAATTTAGAAACCCATCTCTGAATCTGTGATATTATTAAGCACCTTTTAAATGCATGAAGACGGGCAGATTTAAGTCAATAAAAGTAAGCGATTGTCGGTTGCCATAGCGACCTCCGCTCTATTCTATACAAGGAAAATCAGGCGTTGCTCTCCTGTGCCTCAGATAGACCACACTCAGTGCCTAAACCACCTATACAGCCAGTGCCAGATGTGGCCGATGTCCCTTTGGACAGTTTAAGAGCCGCTCCGTCTACGTCTGTTTGCACTGATGTCATGGATCCACCTGGCTGCGCCAAAGGGCTGGTCACTTATACCCCTCCCCCCACATACGGTCCAATATGCATGCTGTATGTTAACGTGTTTAATATTACATGTTAAGACTTGTGTTGCACTTTCTGTCTGGAAGCACTGAGCAGATTGCATTGTAGCTCTGAAATCATCTTTTAGCAACAGGCTAGGCTAACATTTAGCTAAAAAAATAAGTGAGGTTGTAAGGATTGTTTGTTACTGTTGTTTTCTGTCGACATGAAAACGGTCTGTGTTGTGTGTAATCTTATGAAAATGGGTAAAGAGTGATGACACTAAGTCTGTTTAAGGACCTAAAAACTTACATTTTTAACATTTGTAAAGAGTTTTTTACTTATGTATTTATTTATTAACTTATCAAGCCTTTCTTTTAAACATTTTCTATTGTTTTGGTAAAATTAAAATAAACCGTTGAGTCTGAGTTTAACCCATGTTTGCTTTGTTTTATTTTAGTCTTGAGATGACTTTTAACAGGTTTTACATCGATTCGAGAGCGTTTGACCGGCGTCACCGTCGGCTACGTTGGCTCATCCGCTTGTTTAAAGATCTAGCTCTGTTTCGCAGTGTGATTGATGCGAAGGCTGGCTTTGTCAGTGGAAACAAAGAGCCAGTGTCACTGTGTGAGCACACTGCCCTGAGGTCAGGGACTCTGTCCGCCTGCTGCACAATGAATCCATTCTGAGTGCAGCGGGGGTTTCTGTGCCAGAACAACCTCCTCAGCAGTCCTAACCTCACTGCTGTGGACATGCAGTGATGCTTCAGCTCTATTTTGCTATGAGTCACTTTCAAACAATAGGTACAGCACTGTCGTTTTAAAACTTTTCCAATCTCTACTTAATTAGAGTTCTTCTGGTGATGCACAGTGTTTGAAATGGGCTTGTTTCCTAGCATGGACAAGGCTTCAGCTTTTATGTCAGGGAAACAAACACGTCACTTATCTCCTCAATCAGATCACCATCTCTAGGTAAGGTCTTGTGGAAATTACACTGATAGAATAAATTAGAGTATATTTCACTAAAAGTCACTGTAGCACAGACTCCGTTTATGTCTGTGTTCCTTTTAAATGTCGAAATGCATCAAATTAAGAAAATACATTATTGCCTTATGTAGCTTCTAGTTAGAATCTCAATTAATAGCAAATGCAACAGTTTCTTCACCCCAATTAAGAACTGAATAAATCTGTAAAAAAAAAAAAATACATAATATAACTTCCTAGAATCAAAACAGTTCATACATTAGGAGCTGAATATATGTCAGTGAAATTAGAATATTATTCAGATCCTAATTAATTTCAATAAATGAAGTCTGGTGCTGAACCACATTCTAGAGGTTGATTAAATAAAAACTGATATTTCAAAGTCTTAAATGTGCTGTTATGAATGTCTTATTACTGCCAGAGTTTGTGTGTGTCTGTCTGTCTGTGTACGGGACAACTTGAAAAGTTAAGGACAGGTTTTAATTACATTTTCATCAGTGGTCTCCCACATGCTAAAGTACAATCCATTCAATTTTGGTGATGATCCAGATCATAATCAGGATACAGGAATTTAAAAAAGGTTTTCTAACATCAGATGGGGGGGGGGGTTTGGCAGAAAAAGCAGTTCCAGATTTAACCAGAAGGTGGCAGCAGTGACCATTGACAGCCTCAGCATCAGACTCATAAAATCCAGATGTATTTTACTGAAGATAAAATCACAAGAAAAGGGAACATTGTTGGGTTGCAGGATCAATTGAAAACCTATTAATGGATTTCATGGAAATATTATATCAGAGATGCACTTCATGCCAAAAAACAATTCATTTAGGTTTGGTAATTATCCAAATCATGTAAGTCTTTTAATTTAAGTCACAATTTGGGGCGAAGATAGCTGCTTGGCGAAGGTCTGCGCTCTCAGAGTGCTTTTCAGGTTGAAATGTGTTTTTTTTTTATTACAACAGAAGCCTGGAGCAACACATATGAGATTAAAAAAACAAAACAAAAAAAACAGTCTGTACTGTTGTCATTTAAGCTTAAAAGGACCAAGCTCTGCATCATCTAACGGTCATGAAGTTATCTGACCACTGCTCAGCACAGCTAAACTAAGACAGTGATCATCCAACTATTCTGTGATCAATGATATGCTGCCTCTAAAATGCTCTGAATGTTTAATGAAAATTTTATGTAAAACACCTGCTTGAAGGTTGCTTTTAAAAAGCACTTTTAATCTGAGAAACGAACCCCATCAGAACATTTACTCTAATTTATTACACATGACTACAGATATATCCTCTAAATGAGATTGATGTTAAATCGTTTTTTTCATGTATAATGTAAAATTTATCCTATGTCTGTTGTGAGGGAAGTAGAAATAGATGCAATAAAGTGTGTACCTTATTATATTGAATTTGTGTTAGGGTTTAATTTCAGCATTCTTTTCTTTTTTCACATTTTTATCAGTAGAAGCATCCCACATCTTGACTCAATACGATTTCTCACTATATCTTGCAAAGGTTCTCTGAATTCAGAATGCTATTTCAAGTATTTAAAAATAAAAGGTTACATTCTCTGCCATTTGACATTTTGTCTAATGAAGTTATTCTTACATTATTTTTTATTTATACCTGAATTTATAGTTGTTTTAATATAAATGAAACATTAAATCCAGCTTTACGACTAACTTGATTTGAAGAAAATGTTAAAAAGTTTTAATCAGACGCATTATTACTGATATTAGGTTTATATACTGAACCCTGATTATGATTAATTATGATACCATTTTAGATTTCTTTCACTGGTTTGTTTTCTAGTTGGATTAATCAGTATTTATTACAATAGATACATCACTTCTCAGGATTTTAAATAATAAAAACAGGCCTTTAAAGAGTTGTGGAGGGTTTTCATTTCATACCTGAGCTTGTTTATTTAGGATTTGAGTTCAGGTAGAACTGGAAAAGAAGCCAAAAAGATTTCAAATCAGCAAAATGACTTAAATATTTTAAAATGATGGAAAAACCACATTTCTTTATGAGTGTAAAACACTAAAGAAAACAATACTGATTTACGTAACAATAAAACACCCAAACTGACACTACATGTGAATGTCTTTCGAATATCCAAATTGTCAAAAAAGGCAGGTTTTTATTTTAATGACGTTTGTACGTCTGACAGTACATCATTACAGCAGAGCAGAATGGAGACGTCTCATCTCTAACTGTCAGCTTGTGAGGTAAGTAGTACTCCAGAACGCCAGCTCCCACAACACAATACTGACAGACACCACCGCCCACTGACAGCCTAACATGGTTCTTAGCCCAGATAACAAAACTGGAACCCTGTTAATAATCCATCATGCTCATAAAATTGGTAATTAAAGAGGTGGACCAGATTTTTGAGTCATGTTTCCAGCGTGATATGGATAATCCATGCCGTTGTTTATTGAATCCTTTGTTATTATGGGCTCACCCCCCCCCCAGATTAATTTAAGCTGGATTTATTATTATTATTATTATTGTTGTTTTTTTATTTGTTGTTATAATTATTAAAGCTGTTTTATGCATATTTAGAAGTTTTTAACTGTTAATTTTCTTCTATTGTTTGGTAGTTATTGAGGAAATTACAACACAAAAGAAATGTGCAGAAAATGATTTAGCCCTGTTTTCTCTCATAGCCCTAAATACAATCTAAAGCAAAAGGAAACGTGTATTTCATAGTAATGGCAGCATCATGCTGCTGGGGTGTTTTCTTCCAAAGTTTTCCTCTATGGAGATAGCGGTCACAGTTGCGGTTCTTTGGTTTCTATTTTTGGTTTAGCATCCCTTTTCCTTTTTAAAGGCAAATTTGAAGGAAAACTGATCAAATCAACGTTGATTGTTGAATGAATAAATACATTAGATAATTCCTCACCTTACTTTCTTATGTTACAATGAGATATATAATACACAAATATTTTATGGTACTGATGAAAGTTTCCACTCAATTTGTTTTTTTCTTAATTAAATTTAATACATATTACTTAATATCAAACTAATTGCATTTTACATCTTTTTATATTCTGTTTTTTTTTTTTTTTTTTTATAGTTGAGTTTCTCTCGTCCACTCTGATGTGGACTACTTCCTATCTTGATCTAGTTGAAAAACTTGAAAAACAGTTTTTGGGGTAATAAAAATGATTGCAGCTCACAGAAAAACTCGTGTCAGAGTGGAAACCAACGAGATATTGTTCACATGAAATTAAGAAAAGAAAAAAAGTTTGGGAGGGTTTGTTGATTCAGTTTTTGGATTCAAATAGAATCCACTCTATATGGTCAGTAACCAAGAATCAAACCATAAACATGCACGGCTCAGCCTTTTATGTTGCCTGTTTTAATGCGTTTTTCATTCCTTGTTGAAGTCTTTCAGAGCCAAAGAAAACAAAAAATAAAAAAATTTAATAAATTTTGCAGTAATTCTGCAACAGAGGGAAAAAAAATGCTACCAGTCCACAAGATGGCAGTATTGTCTTTGATTTTGGAAAATCAATGTACTCAAGCATATCAGTTCACACAAGGTCCTATGTATAGATACACAGCTGTATAATAAGCACTCACACACCCACACTAAACACACGCCTGTGTTGGTGTGTGTGTATATATATATATATATATATATATATATATATATATATATATATATATATATATATATATATATATATATATATATATATATATATATATATATATATATATAGTTGAGTATATAAAGAAATATATATATATATACATATTTATATATATATATATATATATATATATATATATTTCTTTCCTAAATTAACTGCATTTGTTCTTAAATTGAGCAGATAAGTGAGACACTTTGCCAATGGAATCAGTCAATTTACATTTAAAATAAGAAAAACACAACTGCAGTCTCTTATTTCAAGCACATCATATCTAATTATCTTATTTTAATGCTAAATACACTGATTACCCAGTCAAATCTGGGGTTAATACACATTTTAAGGATTTTTAACTCATTTTAAGATTCTTTTTGCAGTGTGACCACTAGTGCAGCACCCAGTTCAGGACGCGTGAGACACACTACAGTCATCGGACAATCCCTGATTAGGAGGGAAAATCCAGAGTTTGAGAATTCACAATGCCTTTCCTTGTGACTTTTCTGTTCCCTCATGGTGCTATCAATGCAGGCACGTGCACTGAAGATCGCAGGGATAAACAGCAAATGCATCTGAATGTATCTGAAGGGGGTCGTTCTTAATATCTTCTGTTTTTCCCCCCTTCCTCCATAGCATCCACGTGTCACTCTCGAGTTCTCTGCTGCTTGATGCATACCTGACATTTTTGTTGGTTTTGAACTGTGGGGGCTGAGAATCAGGGGTATTAAGTGAACCAACATTTTCACTTCTGATTTAGTTAGAGGTTTAACAGAGGTCTAACCGCAAGCACTAAAAAT